AGTTTTATAAAAACTTCAAATATCTTTGAAAAAATCAGGTAATATTTTCTTTCTTTAAACTTTAACCAAGGATTTCTTGACTACCAACTATTCGAATTTAATAAAACTTATTTATTTTAATTCTGTGAATTCATAGAATTAAAATAAAAAAAAAATTATCGAATTTGAACAGCTAGTTGTTGAGAAGCATTTATTAAAAGTTAAAAGTAATTTGGCTGCAGCTTCTTTTTTAAAGGCATCTAAATTTAAACGAAGGATTACTCAACAGCCAACTATTCAAATTTAATGTAAATTTTTTTATTTTAATTATATGGCTTTATGTGATTAAAATAAAAAAAAATTAATTTAATTCAAATAGCTAGTTATCGAAAAATATTTATTAAAAGGTTGGATATCTCAAAAAAAAAAGCTATGGCCAAATATTTTTTTACCTTTAATGAATATTTCTCAACAACTAGCCATTCAAATTCTCTATAAATTTACAGAATTAATATAAAAAGAGTTTCATTAAGTAATCTTTATTTAAAGTTCAAAGAAAGAAAAGTTAACCCGATTTTTTTTTAAACTACTAAAAATTTTACTATTAAATTATTTGCCAGATCGATTCTAATATATTTCGATTTAGATATATGTATATACTCGACTAGTTGGTACTATCTAGGGGTTAGTAAAATAAACAGGGGGACAACTCAATGTTATACAAGTAGATAATTGATCTCCAAAACTGTCACAATATAAGCTTTATATAGTTTTTTATATACAAATTTATATAATCCTGTAATCACCTTTAAAAAATTTTAATAAAAATTTTAGCTATTTGAATACAGGTTTTTTTTCAAAATTCAGAATGACTGAAGGCTGGTAACTAGCTTCATAAAAGCTTAGCACTAGTTTTCTATATTTTTAAAAATTAAATCATATACTTCCTATAACGTGGCCTAGATTAAAAAATGTTGGCAAAGATATGTACTTGAATTAGAGAACATTAAAAAGCACCGTGTAAAGCTACTTAACTGCTCTGAACCTTAGAATGAATAACCTTGGATCTGGGAGGTGCTAAAAGGAATGAATGAATATAAGGCATTTACTTATAATTTGGGAGGGCATTTGTTTATAATTCAGGAGTTGAAAAAGATAACAGAAGTTAAAAAGAATTAATGTAAAGCACTTGCTTATGATTGAGAAGGAGCTGAAAAGGATGAACATGTGTAAGGCCAAGGTTAAGGTAAGGCCAAGGTTAAGGCGGTGCTGCTTGTTTTACTAGTAATTATTTTACTGACAGCTTATTTAGTTGCAGGTACATATTATGTCAACTAAATAAGCTGTTAGTGAGTGATTATTGGTAAAGTAAAGCTAAAACAACGTAAGGCATTCACTTATCAATAAATGAAATTCAATTCAATTCAAACTTTTTCAATAGTTCGAATGGCGAGACAAAGAACTTGTAGGTCTAACTTATATAAGGAGTGTATCAAGATTCAAGTTATTATCGAATGAATTTAGCATTGAATTATTGAGTCCCACATTTATAATTTAATTTTTTTTTATTTTAAATAATTTTTTTTCAAAAAAATGTACATTAAATTTTACATAATAAATTACTTATAAAATTTTTTTAAAGTTTGCCTTTATAACTAATTTTTTCTGAAACAAATTTCACGATATGTTTAAAAATTAATGCATTAAAGTTTTATAGAATTTAGGATAAGTTAGAGTATAATTATAAACAACCTTAATCTCATCTTTGAAAATCTAAAACAAAGGTTGAAACAAGTCATAAGCTCAAAGAGAATATGCTTAAGTTTATGTTGCTTTGCGAATTAATGAGCTTAATCCATAATTGCTATTTTACAATATTCATCTAACTACAATCATAACATTAGAAGTGTAACCAAGGTATACATATACACCATTTCCACAGCCAACAAGTTCACCCTTTACAACCTTACTATGTTTCTCAAAATGCAGATCATTATTATAAACACTTGGTAATGTTACAAGCAACTAGGAGGATTGAAGCAATAAGCTAATGAAAGGTTTAAAATGATATATATTAGTTAATAAATCAGATTTTAATATTTGACGATTTCAATTATTTAGAGAAATGATATTTGGTTTCTGCGAATACCAAAACATGCCTAACCTCTACACAAATCTACCAAACAACAAAATTCAAATATGGCAGTAATGTGTCTTGAATCAGCGAGTAATCAATATAGCCAAAAGTTCTTTTATATAGTATCGTGAACATTTTTATTATACATTTATAATTGTTACACAAAATAATCGTACATCATTTTTATTGGCTATATATTATAGTAAGTTGCCCCTCTGTTTATTTTACTAACCCCTAAGTACTATAAAGTACTATATTTAATAAATTATATGTTAGCTACTGCAAACAAATTTAAATAATATTTTCAAATGGTACGCGTATACTGTAATAAATACAATATTAATACTAATCAAACACAATTGTAGAATTATAGCAAAAGACACAATTTCAATGATATTTGTAAGTTTTATACAATTAAATGAATTGCATACATTATATATACCTCAAGATATAAGCATTAATTATTAATTACTAATACCTTTACCTTTTTTAAATTTACAGATACAAGAATTATATTCAATGCTTTTACAGTGACTACATACATATTTATTATTTTTTTTCTCTACTAAATTATGTTGAGAAAATTCATCATAGTTATTTTGTACTTCAAAACATTGGCTTACTTCATCAAATTGCTTATTATCTTTATAATTCAATTCCTTTAGGGCCGTGTCATTTATCACCTGATTTTTTTTTATCAGTGGCCTACCCCCTATCTTTATATATAAAAATTGTCAGGTCTTTATATGTAATTTCTAAAATTTTTGACCCCTCCCTAAAAAATTACCTGATATTTGACAGCTCCCTTACTCTTTATAAAAATTAAAATTAATAAAAAACTTGCTTCTAATAAATGAACATAATAAATTAAATTACTTACCTGAAGCTTTTACAGTAATGCAAGTTTTATCTTTACTATAAGATCTAGAATTTTCAATTGCACTTTTAATCCACTTTTTAGATGCATCTTTTGTATTTGTTAAATATGGATTGCTTATATTTAACAAATTCTCTTTGTCAAACTTATTTAAATTACAATTGACCTCTTTTTCTGTTTCTTTAATCCATTCTTGTAAGAGTTTATTTAACTCGTTTCGTGACCAGTTTCAAGTACTAGATCAATTGCCTTTTTGCATAACCAAATCTCTGATTATATTTTACTTTACAATTCAAATTGTATTTGACAGTTTCTGAAAGTGTTTGTATATGCCGAATCTCATTAAGAAAGCTATAGTCCATTTTAATTTGATGCTTGTAAACAGGCATATTACTATCTATTAAATGCTTTTTGCTAACAATCGTAATTGCTACTTCATTTTGAGGATTTAATGTTATTTCCTTATACCATCGAGCTAGAATGAGACCAATATGAAATATGGCTTTATCATTACAGAAAAAAATGCTAGCAAATAAGCCCTTTTGTTACGAGATTCATACAGATACACAAATGATAAACATTTTTATAAATTACTAATATTTTGATCCTATTTTCAAAAGGCCATTCGGATTAAATTCATATCCTCTTCAACATATCCGGTTTATTCAAATTTTAATTCGGATTAGCAAATTTGGATTCAATTCGGATTCAATAATGAGAATCCTAATAGTTAAACATCTAATACATAGTGTTTTAATCCTATTCTTAAAAGACTATTCAGATTAAAATTTGTATCTTCTTTGATTACAGCTGTTTTCATAAATTCCGAGATACTTAAAACATTGCTTATTACCGAATCAATAAGTTTTTGATGTCGGCTAACATTAGTAACTTATTGATTCCAGCTCTTGATTTGGTCATCAAAAAATTTTTTAGCTGTTCCAGAATTTATAAAAACAGCTGTAATTCACTGATAGCTCAATTTGCCGACAGTTTATTTCACCAACAGCTTATTTTACAAAGTAATTCTAGTTATTGTCAGATTAGAATTAGAGTTAAAGTTAGTGTAATTTATAAAAAAAAACTTAACAGCAAAATGAGCTGTTGGTGAAATAAACTGTTAGTGAAGTGAACTTGTCAGTGAATTACAGTAGCATTCAAATTTTACAATAATTTAGATTATATATATCTAGGATAAGGATCCATATAATCTTTATTCTTAATTTGATATTTATTACGGATCTATCTATTAAAATAAACAGATTAGGATATCTGTATTTAATTCGAATTATCAGATCAATTCAAATTGCCAGATTACGAATTAAAACATTATAAATTACTATAAAATACTCTTTGTTTTGTTCAATAGTCATTATATGCCAAACTTCCTGAATAGTAGATCGATCAATATATTTAATTAATGAATCTTTGTTATAACAAATTCATAATCATCTTCAGCAAATTTCATATCATCTATTGCTTCTATTGATTCAGAAGAAACTTGATTTTTATTAACTTGATTTTTATGACTAATTAAGCTTTTCCAATTTTCAATTCTTTGAATATGATATAATAAACTTTTATTCATTTGACGATATTGCATTTTTAATACTCATGGAGTAAGATAATTCTTAAGAGTTACATTAATTCAACTAAAATATCTCTATCCCTTAAACTGTATTCCAGACAAATTTGCCTGGAATTTTGAAAAATATTTCCAATTTTTTAAATAAAATTAAAAATTATTAATGATATAGAGTATAATTTATATATACAATATTTTATTTAAAATATATTCTATAAGCTTTATTATAGAAATTTTTTAATTTTACTAG